CGGTTGAATAAATAATTAGCTGCATTATTATCACGGAAAGCGGGCTGCGCGCAATGAAAGGCCGCAAAAAAACCTTATGCAGCGAACGAAAAAAAAACTGCGATCGTTCGCTCGCCATTGTCTCGGAGGTTGTGCCTTTATTTTCCTTTTTTCTGTGGCCCTCTCCCTTTCGCTTTATACCTTTCTATCATTCTCTATCTCTCTCTCTTTCCCTATCTCGCTCGTTCCGCTTTCCTCTTTTTCTCCGTCAAAACCATTCAGCCGCAATTAGAATTATTTATTTATCGCGTTCGCAACGAGAGCTTCGAAGGGTCGTTCTTTTCCTTTCCACCCTTTCATTCCGCCTCTCTTCTTTCTGCTATATCAGTTTGCAACACTAGTTTATGCGAGCGTTTCGGAGACAGGCTAGCATTTTTGTTTTCCCTCGAATATATATATATATATATATATTTTCTGCTTTTTTGCCCTTTAATTGTACGTCGATTAAATCCCTACGTTCTCATTTACGGTTTCTTCTCTTCTCGATTTTTACCCGAAAAAGACCCATTTTGCAGACTAATTTAATTGCAGAAATTAGCAATGATTTAGCCGAGTGCAGCTTTTTATCGCGTTTATTTGTCTGTCTGTTTTATTGCTTTTCTTAATTTTATAAAGAAATCTCCCCCCCCCTTCATTAAATAGGTGGAAAAATGTCAATCTGTTTAAATTTTCAATCTGTCAACTGATCGCTTTAAAATATGAAATTAAGTCTTATCGGACTTTAAATTTTATGTACTCTATTTTTTCTTTATTTTAATTCTTTCTTCCTGATTTCAAGTGGATAATTTTTTGCAATTTTTTAATGCAAGTTATTTATAAATTTATAGAGATATAGAGCGAAAAAATGTTTAGAAAAACAGAATGAGAGAGAATAGAAAGATAGAGAGAAAGAAAGAGGAATAAAAACTTAATATTAGTTTTATCTACAAAGATGAAAATTGACGGTATTTAAAAGTTATTCGATTGTACAAAAAGATTTTCTGACTTCAGACAATTATTTCCTCTGTTTATTTTAATTTAATTACAAAATCTTAAGAAAATAATACATAGTTTGAATGTTTAAAAATTCTGTAAAATTTAAAATTGTAATGTATAAAGTAAATGCAATTAAGATTTTAGAGATAGCTATTGAGAATCTTCACGTTAATTCAATTAAATCAATTTGAATGAGAAACAGTAAAATTAGCATAACAAACTTAATACGATTGTTACGTTAAGATAAATTCCGTTTACATATTGATTCATTTAGAATATTCTGGTAAAGATTAAAAAAATAAAATGTAATATTTGTAGTGAAATAAACAACAATCACTTAGCTGAATTGTTTTATTTATAATATTTTTATGATATTAAAAATGGAAAGACACATTTTTTATCAAACCACCAGTTCTGTTAAAAAATACAGCTTTAAATATTTGTTCTATAATATTTTATTAGCACGACAGCTGTCCAACTCATTTTCCATATTTACAACCGCAGTTTTTAATAAAAAAATCCCTTGATTGGACAGAACAGACAAGTGTTGCGACCAACTCAATCTCTAGAACTGACATTATTAGATTTTTTCAATGGAAATAAAAGATTAAAAATATGAAACAATGAGTAAACTGAGTTTGCGTTTTAATATGTCAACAGTGAGGGAAAAAATATTATATTATGGTTTATCGTGTTGTGGATTGTCAAATAATGTCTGAAAAATATAATGTTAAACATATAAAAATAAAGTACAATGAATGAAATAAATTAGTTAAAATTAAAATTATTTTAAGATTATATTATTGTAATAAATTAATAAACTTGTGAATGTTGTGTAGGTATATTATACTAGCATTATGTATAAAGTTAAAAATCTTTAAATTCGTCGGATTAAAAAGTTTTAAGATAAACGACTGTCTGTATTAAGAACTTATTCGAATTATTTAGAAAACACGTTTTTTTTACACAACTATTTTTTTTCTTTATGTGTCTACTTATTTTTTTTTTTTAATAGTCTAAAATGACACTTTTTAAGAAATCGAAAAGATAGCAAATCGGGATAATGGACCATTAATCTGTTGGCGACAGCTGTTCCAATATCCAGGCAACTAATCGGAAACGCGAAGTGAGAAAAATGAAACAAGAAAGATGAAATAAGAAATAAAAAAAGTAAAACTTTTATTAAGTTAAACTCTTCACTCGAGAATTCACACACAATTTTCTGTTTTTATAAGAACATTTATTATTCAATTTTAGTAAAACATTCGAGCACTTTCTCCATTAATTTTCCAAGCTTCCATTATATATGTATATATAAAATAGATGAATCAATATTTTAGTATCGTTTATTTAATTATAAAAAAAATTCTCAATGTGTATGTACATGTCAGATGAAATAATCAAATGATTATTCAAGCTATCTCTTCCACGCAAAGGTAATTTTTTAAGCTAAATTTTTGGAATGGAAATAAAAAAATATAAAAAAAACATTATCAAGATAAAATTCAATAATTTTAGATTAGCTTTATATAATATTTTTATATTGTGTTTTATGCATCAATGTATTATACATATAGTTGTGAAGTAACTTGCTTCTTAATGGAACTTTTAATAGTTTTGTATAAATAAGAAATTACAAGTATTCAACATGCATTCAAAATGTAAAAAGCGTTCCATTTACAAAACAAAAAAAAATAGAATTGCATTTTATAGCTGTTTCTATGCACAAAACTCCAATAGAGAATAAATAGAAATATAAAGTGTCTATATAAACCATTCAATTTTATTTTGTGACTCTTTTCCATCTCTAACTATTTCAGACATACAGCTTCGCTTTGTTACGTATGAAACATTTTGATAAAAAATGATATATGTATAATAAAATACATATGATAAAAAATAATAATAAATAATATATTAACCTAAATCAGAAAAATTAATTAAAATAAAATAACAATGTAATATATGTGTATATAATGTTGTAGTTGCAAATATCATATATTAATATGGAACAAATAAAAAAATACTTGAAACATTATTTTTAAAAACAATTAATTATAATTAATTATAATAACATTTTGATAAAAAATTATAATAAAAATTAATTAACTATAATAAAATAACAATGTAATATATAGGTAATGTATGTAACAAATATAAGAGTTTTTAACAAGGCTCTGTAATATAAATATAAATTTAACGTATAAGACGCCTTATACGTTAAATTTATATTTATATTACAGAGCCTTGTTAAAAACTCTTATATTTGATACACGCTGGCTTAAAAAATGCGTTTGTTTACCAACATTAATATATATTATATAACAGAGAAAAGTATAGAATCGAAAGGATCTGAATAGCTCAGCTGGAAGAGCAGTCGCCCGGCAAGCGAAAGGTCTCGGGTTCGATTCCCGATTCAGCGATTTTCGGATCTATATTTTTCTCTTGCATTCATTTATTTATTTTCCGTAGGGGGGTTAAAGGGTATTGAAATTAAATCTCAAAATATGAGATTATTTCATATTTAAAAATCTTGGCCGTGTCCAAGTAAAATTTGGTGCCTTGTGCACCGGTATTTAATTCTAACGAAAAATTATTTAGTTTCGTTAGGATAACGCATTGTCATCCGCGATTTGGCTCTTGTTGCCCGTCTTATACGTTAAATTTAAATGTATGTAACATTTTAATTGCAAATATATATTAATATAGATCGAATAAAGAAGTATTTGAAACATTATAAAAAAAAGGCAAACGCAAAGTGGAAAAATAAAAAGCTAATTTTGCAGCTCAACAGATCGCTTACGAAGTTAATATAAAAGAAGCAAAGCTATTTTGGAATCTAAGAACATTGTAAGCCAAAGTACGCGGGAAGATTAATCGTAGGAGTTGCGCAGGATTAAAGCGAGTTTAATTTCGAAACGAATTACCCCGAGATCTAATCTCTCTAGTTGGCATCACCAGGATATATATTTCGCTGCATTGCATCGTATTTCGTATATATTTCATCTTAAATGCCGCTCCTCTCTCTCTGCTCGCGATATTATAGTTTGCGCGCGAATATCTTCGTCATACTTATTAATCTTGTCTTCTCTCCCTTCATCCTTTCCTACTCTCTCTCTCTCTTTTTCTCTCTTGCTTTGTTTCTCCTTTTCTTACACCATCTCGCAGACGTTTACCTCTTTGTCACTGCATATTACAGCGCAATTTGCAAATTCTACTCTTAATTGCTGCCGACGAAAATTCCAACTTCCCCACTAAACTGATCCCCTAATGTAGACGAACATTTCACAGCCCTAATGTCTTTCTCAATATTATGAAATGAAGACAGCATGTTAATATGCAAATTATAATTGAAAAACTGAATCGTGTACTTAAGTCGAAAAATGATATCTTGGGAAAATAATTCAAAATTAAACAATCTCGGCTTCCAAATTGATACACATTACATTATAATTTTAAGATATATTATATATTAATTATATACATTGTATTACCTTAAATAAAGAAAGATTTATGTTTAAATAAATATTATAAATTTTAGCTAATTTTACAAAAATTTTTATAATTGCTATTTTTCGTAAAAAAGAAACATTATATATATTTTTGGTGGCAATAACAAAAAAATTTATATAAAGAACATAAGAATATAAAAAATATTGTGAACATTTTTCTGTGTTTTTTTTAATACTATTAATATAAATAAATATTATAAATTTTAGCTAATTTTACAAAAATTTTTATAATTGCTATTTTTCGTAAAAAAAAAAAAAAAACATTATATATATTTTTGGTGGCAATAACAAAAAAATTTATATAAAGAACATAAAGAACATAAGAATATAAAAAATATTGTGAACATTAAATTTCTGTGTGTTTTTTATATATGTATGAATCAATATTAAATAATATTTTGATAATATAAATAAGTTCGCATAATAATTCTTCACTGCAATAATTGTACTAAATATAATGAACTTTTTTTTACAGATACGAAGGAGATTTGAACTCTGACGCGACAGTGATTCCGGTGAGAGATCTTCGCATATCTTTTCACGTACATCATACAGGTAAGTTTATTGAACAATTATTATAATGAAAATGTTCACACTTGTTGTGCAGAGTTAAATTATGATTAAATAGCTCGCTCTCTAAAATAAACCTACAAATAACAACAGTGTCTTGAGAAAAGTGTCGGAAGCTTTTATTTTAATGTTGCATTTTCTAAAGGAGACATAGAAACATAATAGAGCTATTCATTTTAGCTGCATTTTCTTCTTGCATTTCCTTCCTGTATCTGACACAGAATAAGTGTGTGTTTAAGCTTTGGGGAAAGGGGAAAAAATAAATAGCACAGAAAGTGACTCATTGTTACAACCGAAGTTTCTTACAATTCACAATAAAAATAGACACAATGCTTTTATAATCAAGCGAAGAAGTTTTATTAACGAAATCAATTCTTATTAGCACTATAAATCAACAATAGATTTGTGAAAAATATAAAATTCTATCGTTTTTATTGTTAACCTTTTATTCGAACTGATAAATCTTTTTCTTCGATGTAATAAAAACGGCTGATTTTCGTTTTATTTTAACTGTAAATCTAATATAAAAAATAAATATATATATAATATATTTTCTAATTTTTTTATAAAAATATTAATTTACTTTTTAAATAATTAATTAATATTTTAAATTGACATTTATAATTTATTGTTTAAAATGGATTAATTAATATCAATTATAAAGTTATTTAAATTTTATAATAAATAATAAATATTTAAATAATAATTATACAAATATTTATAATTTATTTTTGAAAATTTTTTAATAAGAAATATTTTAATATATTTTGGGATTGACACGTAAAAAATAATGTAAAGGGAGCATTAGTCAAATATTAATTAAGTGTTTTAGTTTATTTTATCATAATATATACATATTTATTAATTCGAAAGAGGAAATCCATGTTATTTCTACTTTTCCAAATTTTCAGAAATATTTTAATATAATTTGGAATTGACACGTAAAAAAATGATGTAAAGGGAGCACCGTCGCGCATTATATGCGCGGAAGTTCGTCCAATAATCGTTCGTCTTGGCGAAATTACGGCGCTGAGGATGGCGTTATCTCGCCGCTTACGACTTAAATCACGCGTCTCACGCTTCGCTCCTTGTCCCATTTTTGTTCGGGTGTCCCTTAATTTCTCCCTGCGCGCCAGGAATTACCATCGCGACCAAGCTTCCGGGGCCTCTTCGGGGCGCTGTCTTCGTTCCCGCATGCAGGAAATCCCGGCTGAAAGCCGGGGTTGTCATACCCGCGGCAACCCCAGGTTCACCTTAACGCTGGTCGCCTTCCTTCCTGAAATACATCCTACGGGAATTAAATGCGCGATATTAAATGCAGGGTGCAAACAACCTCCTGGCTGAGAGAGTCACACGGCTTTACCCTCATAACTTTTCGAGCGAGCCGAGATTGTATATTATATTTTCGAATAAACTCCGCGCGCGCAATATATGTATTTAATATTCGTGTTAGGCATTAGTATTGAACACTATAATATACAGAGGGTCTTATCTCAAATAACACATTGCTATTTTCTTTTTTTTAATCAAGGCTTCCATCGAAAAATATTTCATGCAAATATTTCATGTAGGATTTAAAGAGGGATGTCTTGTCGTAAGCATGGTTTTATTCCAGGTGCAAGCATTTGACATTTCGAACTTATTTTTTAATTTATTCTTTTTACATTTTTTTACAAACGAAACTAACATAATTTTTTTACATAAATTGATTCCTCGTAATATTTGATGTAAAAACTATTAGAGTAGAATAGTCGAAAAATAAATAGTTTTTCAGATATTGTATACTTTATTCCGATACATTTTACCAAAAATATTATATGAAATAACTTAGATAATCTTATTTTAATAATTTTTGCATAGAATAATAAGATAAATCAATTGATTGTAAAAAAAAACGTAATTAGTTAAAAAAAAAAGTATATTTTTCTTATATCAATTAATTTATCTACTTATTCTACACAGAAAATTATAAAACTAAGGTAAGATTTTAGCATAAAATATTTCTATAACCATAAACCCTTTATTTTTCGATTATTTTATTTAAACATTTTTATGCTAAATATAATATTATAAGGAATTGATTTTGTGTAAGAAAATTATGGTGGTTATATTTAAAAATAAAATCGAATGAAACTATATATTTATGACAAAACATCTTTCTTGAAATTCTACTTTTGTATAAAATATTTTTTAATAGAAGCCTTGGTTTTGAGAAAGTATGCGTTATTTAAAATATACACTGTACATATATGGTGATTGTTAATTTTCTATGCAATTTCAAGTGACGCATCGTTCTTGCATCTTCGGCGCGATCTATTGATTATATTGATCCCCAGGCTATAATAACTAATAGCGTTTTCGATTGGGGTGCACTGGCTGCACTGAATGTCAGGCGCGTGTTCGATTGGTAGTGCCAATGCGCACTTGGCTAGTGTTGCGTGTTCGTTTGAACGCACAACACTCGCATAGTGCGCACTCAGTGCGCACTAAGTGGCACGAGATATTTTGACGGTGCCAGTTCAGTGCACTGGATGCATGCAAGCAGTAGGGCATTCTTTTGAACGAAAATTCGACATAATGAGCAATTCGGATTTGGCTCTCTTTAATATTTTGGAGACATTTTTGGAATCTTCTTCTAGTTCAAGTGAGCAAGAAGAAATAATTACAACTCTTCGAACTAAAAGAATAATTCCAAAAACTGTAAATTATGTAGAATGTGTGAAAAAAATGAATAATGACACCGTAAGTGTTATATCTTTTTATATAAACATCGAACCTATACCCTTTTTTAAAATATAATTAATGTACTTAATGTAATAGCATTTTTATACTGAATAATAATAATTTTTATATTTGTCATACGTGATATTCTTGATCATCTTCTATATTTAATTACATATAATAAAAATCATTACTTAACTGAACACAAGATGTCGAGGTTACTTTTTCGTTCTTCCCGGAATCTAGTCAACTCAAGTGGCACTGAAAATTTCGGCGTGTTCTTTTTCACCTGCACTATTCAGTGCAACCCATGGAACTTGTCCAGTGTTCGTATGAACTGAGTGCGCACTGGTGCGCACTAACTTTTTCCCAATCGAAAACGCTATAATTGTATCTGTAGGAAAAATTGGGCGCCAGGCGTGAATATTCGCACACAAAAATACGCGGAAAAGCAGTAAACGGGAAACTGCTAATTAATCGCGACGGCCGAATACTCGGCTACTCAATTAACATCAAATAGTAGAAGAGGTGATTCAGACGGAATAGAGAGGAAATCGAGAACATTCGAGAGATAAAAATAACGTGTAATCGTAATAATAACAAGTATATTGGAGAATAGCATGAAGAAACACTGATGATGACTCGTAGAAAAATCTCCGATCGATTAATAAGGAAAATTTTATACCCTGTGCACGACAGCTAATCAGTTTCAATGAAAAATTAATTTCCCTCGAAATTAACACATCTCTGACCCTCTCTAGCTCGTTTAAATTTAAATTTGCATTTCACGTCGAAAGTCTTGCTAAATTTTCAATAGATAAATGTACCGGTTCTATTGCTACGCTTTTCAAGATAAATAATAGATAATCTCAATACTAGGGGATACATCAGGGGATCAATATATTCTTTTCATTATTTATTACTGGCGACTCTTAAGGATTATCATTTATAAATAATAGAGTTGATTTAAGAATTAAAAGCATGGATTATTAGATTTTGTCCATTGTGTTCGGCTATTATTAATTTGACAATAGAAATTAATTATTGATAAAATTACGTAAATTATTCACAGTTCACTATATTTAATACAAGCTTGAGCTAGTTTCATGATATTTAGAATTAATTTCGTGAATTATTATTGTTCGCGAACTCAGTAAAATACTAAAGAGAGAGAGCGCGGGAATACCGGCGCACGTGGTCGGGAAAAAGATGGTGGTTTTACGCGGCGACAATAGACGAGGCGGGGAAATAAATCACTCGCGCTTCGTAACAGTCAATGGTCTTTTTTATTCCGCACAATCACAAATGTACACAACTAATTCGTCACGATAGACAGAAAATTAATATACGAGATATAATACGATGACTTGAACGACTTATTATTTGATACGTTACTGAGAGCGATACAGAACACGTGTACTCTGACTCAAGGATTACTCCAGAATGCTTCCTTCTTCCTCGTCACTACGGAAGTGACGGGACGACCGCGCTAATCAGATATCGATCTAAACGGAAATCAATATGATTGCTATCAATCGATGCTCTGAGCGACGCCGCGATCTCAGAGATGGCGCGTGCATGTCGGTTCGCACGCTCGGCAACACACTCGCACGAACAATTATAGTCTTTGTTGTCTAAATTTGTGATCTATAATTTATAACATAAGTAAGCAATATAATAAATATATATTATTTATTTCTCTCACTCTATTGCATTATGCACAATCTGACAATATTTTATTTGATGCTTGGAAATAAATCAGACATATTTGCCAGCGAAAATTGAGTTTGGATATAATACAAAAAAAAAAATAAAAATTTTTACAAAAAGGCACTTCTAAAAAATTTTTTAAGTTATTTTAACATCGGATTAAATACGTCTATCAAATTTTAATTAAATTATGTAGCTCGCAATGCTGTAAATTTTTTATTAGATTTTGATTAAACTATTCAGAATTTTCTAATTTTTAAAAGAGAATTTTTTAAATATGCAGATAATTTTTTAAATTTTTGTTAAAAATATTAAAAGAAAATCAAAATGCAATATAGGTACTTTACATGAAATTATATTCATCATCAATATGTTGCATACAACAAATGATAGGAAAGTACTTTCTCGCGAAAAAAATTTATAGATGTAAAGTTTCAGTTTCATAACTGGTCAATAAAAAAGCTATTTTTTAAATAATGAAAAATTGTCGATGTTTGTTCAAAGATATTATTTTCGAACGGAATTAATAAATAAACGTCACTATTTTTATCTCA